TGCATTACAGAGATGTGGCTGTTGGGAACCATCAGATGGGATCCTTGAAGAAGTCACGCTCTGCCCACTTAGTGCCTTCCAGAGGTTATGGGTTTCAGATCCCATCTGCCCCGGCCAGCAGAGCCAACAGTCAATAATCCCTTTGTGCTGCAAAGCATTGGTGTGGGAGAAGAGGAAAGCTGGAAAGTGATATATTGTGTGTAGCGTGACTCCAGAGGTTGTGTGTGTCTGGTCTACATACAAATGCCACCATCTCCACCTATGTATCTGAACTGATTTCAAAATCACACCCTTGAAATGCCTTCATTTTTTTTTTAATTTTCCACAAGAAGAGCTAAAAAACGGAACGACCTCCAGCCACGCGTCTGTCAGCTCCTGCAAGCAGAACAGGATATCAGTGTGTAATGTGCGGTAAGAGAAGAAGTCGTTCAAATGTCATTTGCAGGAGAGGGAAGTAATTCGGTGGCCAGGCACGCGTGTGACTTTGCGAACTCTCCGGTCACACGCCCAGCCATTCGCACCGGGTGCTGCTCAGGATGCGGTGCCTGTCCTGCTTGCTCTGGGCTTCCCAAGGTGGCATGGAAACATTGCTATGTCCAATCTCTTTCATCAGATTGCCCAGTAATGGGAAGGTGTTTCTCTTCTTGAGTGGCCAGTTTGGCCCATTAGGAAGCCGGATGCCACATCAGCCCAGAATCCTCTGACCACCTGCCTCCCTTGCTCTCCTAGAATGCTCCTGGCACTGTGGACCTTCTGGGGCAGCGAAGATGGAACGCCATTCCAGCAGCCTTCATGACTGCACCACTTGCGACACAGCACACGCTGCACCAGGATCCGTGCCTAACCGTGACTCCGGCTGCTCCCGCGGTCACACCTTGTCTAGTGCACACCTCACTCGCCCAGTCAGTCAATGATTCATACCACCAGGTACAACCTTCATATTTCAACTGCATCTGATCTAATGGAAGTCCACTGGAAAACCAATGAAAGATGTGAGATGCCATATTTATGGGGAAAGATCCACTGAGTTCAATTAAACATGAATGGATCACAGGGAGAGGTGTCGCTAGTATACAGTTATGCATGGAACAGAGGCAGTGGATACGTTTCCCATTCCCCTTCCTTGTGCTCATCATACTGGAATCTGCCCCCCCCCAAATGAAGTTGGGTGAAGTTGGGCCCCCACAAATGAAGTTAGCAGAGGATTCAAGATAGGATAAACAGCACCCTCCCTCAACACAATGCAGTCTAATTAACTTACTGAGATCGCTATCCCAAGATGTGATGCTAGACATTGGCTTAGCTCTCTTTAAAGGGGATTTGGATTAGAGATGGATAGATCTATCCACAGACATTAGCCATGATAGATAACGGGAACCTGGTTTGGTGGCAGTGCAGCTCTGGAGAACAGAGAACAACGGAGAAGGGCTGTTGGCTTCGTGAAAACATTTGACGCAACCACTGTTTGAAAGTGATACTGGGCCAGGTTTATCTTTGGTCCTCAATGAAGTATATCACTCATCGGCCACTATACAGTGGAGAGCTGGACACACCTAAGACCGAATGATATCAGCTGCCTTTGACGAAATATGTGTAGGATTGGAGTGTTCCTGTGAAACAGGAATGTGCACATACAGGTATCAAAACCAGAAGGCGTTTGGCATGGCCTCTCCATGCAGAAAGTCACCCTTAGTGCCTGCAATCAGACCAGAAGAGGATCAAATAGAACATTCGGATTATTCCTAATGTATGTGAAGGTGAAAAAAGAGAATTCTTTGCTTTGCTCTTGGGTTCAGCGTGTTTTACACCAAAACTAAGTGAGCATAAGATTGTCACTCTACTGTACCCCTAAAGCCAAAAGAGGAAACCAACATGTTTCTGTCATCTTATCTTGGCTGGGTCACCCCAACTGTGGAATCAGCTCTCCAGAGAGGAGCACCTGGCACCAACTTTGTATCTATAGGAACCAGTTTAAAACCTTTAAAAAAACTTTTCCCCAGCATTTCAATTGTTAAAGAATCCTGTCATTTTATACTGTCCTTGAATCACTTTGTACTCTTTATTGTTGTATTTGTTTATCTATGTACTTTGACTATTTGAGGTTGGTTTATGTTTATGCATATTATGTTACATTGTTCTAACGTATTGGGTTTTTTAAAACTTGGTTGTAAACCATTCCAAGAGCCTGTAGGCTAATCATGGACAGTACATAAAAACTTTAAATAAATAAGTAAAATCTATGCTCTGTTCTTTTTAACTAAATAGAAAGGAAGTTGTCATTCATGACAGCAGTCCTTTACATTCCTTTAAAAAGGGATTTAGCAAATTCATGAGGGCCAGATCTACCAAGATCTATTTGGCCACAACTGCAGAATGAAACCATTGTTCAGAGGCATAACCAGCTATGGGGCCAAGAGTGGACAGCTTCTGAGCTTCCAGATGTTTTCTGAATTGCCTTGTTGAGAGAAAAAGGAATGAGAGGGGCTTCCAGGATTTTCCTTGGAAGCAAAAATGACAAAACTTAAGCTGCCCTACTTTGGGCACATCATGAGAAGGCAAGACTCCCTGGAGAAGAGCATCAAGCTAAGGAAGGCTGAAGGCCGATGAAGATGACCCAGTCTGAAATGGACTGAAGCCGCAACCCCGAGTGTACAGGAGCTGAGCAGGGCTGTGAAGGAGGGACGGGGCACCGAGAGGGCTCTCCTTCACTGGCGTGCTGTAAGTTGGAGACGACCCGACAATTTTTGCAAACAGAATGCTGGGCTGGACCGCTCTGTGGTCTAATGCTGCAAATCATCTTTCCTTACATTCTTACGAACTTGTCCTTGGTTTAGCAAGTCACATATAGCAAAACCTATTTTTATCCTGATTGCCAACAGGCAATGGTTGGACAGCTTGGAAGAAATATATACTGCTCATTACTTGGGACCTCTGTGCATGATATTCGTTGCTGGTTTATGTGGACCAAAGAGAAATAGGGTCAGAACTAAACATGGGTGATATGCACTTGGTTGCCACCGTCTGCCTATCTAGGCCATGTCCGTTGCCCGGCCACAGGTAAGTTACCACGTGTCACATTACCTTGCCTGGGGGACCAGAGAGGGGGCTGCCATTTGCACGACACTGGCAGTCATCCACTTATTGCCACCTCAAAATGAGTGGGCACCGTTGTCAGAAGTGTCCACGGCATGCATGGCAAACTGGATTAATCAAGTAGTACCGCATATTCGACCACATATTCACTGGGTCACCGAGGATCTGCCTTCCCCATGGTTGGAACTGCAGCTCCTTTCAGCCCTGACCATGGCGACCAGGGCTAATGCGAGGTGTAGCCCAAAGCACCTGGACAGCACCTGGCCCGGAAAGGCCGCCTTGGCCAAGCCTGACCCCTTCCTCCGGCAAGCGGGGCTCACACAGATCCGCTCCTGCAGACTCGCGGGTGCGAGGCGCTGCAAACGCCTGGAAGCTCCGCAGAAGTGCCACGTACCTTCGGATCACTGGCTCAGCCGGTGGGTCTCGCTAACCCCGGCAGAGCTTCCCTGCAAAAGGTGAGGGCAGCGCTCGGGCTCGCGCCTCCAGCGACGAGAGAGGCGAACCGGGCGAAGTTCGCCCGGCGCGAACTTTCCTCCCGGGACGCCGTTCCGGGCGCGCTGCCGCACCTACGGGAAAGGTGGCGGCGGGGCGGACTCGCCGCCCGGCTCGGCGACTCCCGCGCGGAGGCAGGGAGCGGCCGGGAGCTCCTCCCCGCGCCGGCCTCCCTCGCCATTCGCCCAGGCCGGGGCGCTCGTGATTGACGGGCCGGGCGGGCTATGGCGGAGGCCGCTGCGGCGGCCAGCAGGCGAGGCGCAACTTAGGCGGGCGAGGCGCGGGCGCCAGCGGGCAGCGTCCCGGCATGGAGCGAGGCAGGGCCGCGGCGCCGGCGAGCCCCGGCGCCCTCTCCCGCGGGCGCGCCTGCTAGGGCCGTCGCGGCTGCAGCGGGCGCGGAGGCACCGCGGGCGTCCCGCTTGGCTCTGCCCCCGCTCTCTCCGCTCTTTCTCCCTCTCCCTCTCTCCATTGCTGGGAGGAGGCGGGCGGAGGCGGGCGGGAGGCGCACAGGGCTGGCTGGCTGGCTGCAAGATTTCCTCCCGCGGAGCCGAGGGGAGGCGGATACAGGCGCGCGGGGAAATGCATTTCCTGCACGCAGGAGAAGCTGCAGGAGCGGCCCCAGCCCAGCGCAGCAAACATGGCTGCGTGCGGCGGCGGCGGCGGCGACTCCTGAGACGCGGCCCTGGGCGCCACTGAAGCCTGCTCCCCGCCCGCCCCCGCGGACACCCAGCGCCGCCCGGCCCTGCGGACAACTCCGGGGCGGGGGAAGAAGTCGGGCCGAGCCTCCCGGGGGGCGATGCAGTGGGGAGCCCTTTGTCCCGGCCGGAGCCAAGTCGGCGCTTGCAGCTGAGCGCAGCCGGGAGGCGCCTGCCTGCGGCCGGGCTGGGGGCAAGCGGAGCAAGCGGGCGCGCTTCGGGAGGGCGCGCGGGATAGGCCCGGGGGTGCCCCCCGCTGGGCGGCGAGAGCGGCTCGCCCGGCGCAGCCGCCTTCCCAGGCGAGGCGCTCGCTGCTGGGGAGGCGCTTTGCGCCGCAGCGACCTGCCCGCTCCGGAGTTTGGGGCCGAGGCGGCGCAACAGTTGCTTCCCCTCCTGCCTAACTTTGCGCCGAGTGTACGCGGAGGGAGCCTCCCTGCCGCCCCCCGAGGTCGTCCGCGCCGGAGCGGCCGCCGCAGGGAAGCCATGTAGCCGCGCTTGGAGGGGTCGGGTCGCCGCCGCGCCGCCCGCCCGCCGCGCCGCCGGAGCCCTTTGTCTGGACGGGGAGGGCCGGCGCGGAGAAAAGTTGCCGAGCTCCCTTGGCTTGCGGGGGGCGGGGCCTGCGCGGGGGGGGAGGGGAGGGGAGGGGAGCGGCCCGCCTGCGCGGCGCGGCGCGGCATCCTCTCCCGCGGCGGCGCCCCGTGCGCGCCCGGCGGCGCGGCCATGGAGCCCAAGCATAAGGAGCTGCTGGCCCAGTGTCACCAGAGCCTGGCGCAGGCCATGACGGAGGTGGACCAGGTGATCGCGCTGCTGGAGGCGGCGGGCACCCTGAGCGCCCGCGACCTGCGCGAGCTGCACGAAGCCGGCGCGGCCAAGGCGGGCGGGGAGGGCGGCGACGCGGACGCCGGAGGAGGGGAGCGCGCCTCCGCCAGCGCCGGCAAGGCCGACCTGCTCATCCAGCTGCTCCTGGCCAAGGAGCGCGACCATTTCCAGGACCTGCGCGTGGCCCTGGAGAAGACGCAGCCGCACCTGCTCTCCATCCTCTACCTGAACAGCGGCGTGGCCGGCGCGCCGCCCGGCGAGACGGCGGGTGAGTGCGCCTGCGGGAGCGGAGCGGGGCGGCCCGGGGGCGCGGGCTGCCCGTGCAGGGACCGGGCGGGGAGGCGGGCCGGTGGGGCGCCGCGGGGCCCCGCGAGCCCCGAAAGTTCAGCCGGGGGCGTGGCGCTGCCGGCCTGCGGCTCGGAGAAGGGGACGCGCCGAGTCGCGGCGCAGCGGGGAGAGCGCCCTCGCCGCGCGCAGGGGCCGGTGCGCCACCGGGAATGCGGGGCCGCTTCAAGGTGTTGCCCTGCGGATGCGGCCTGCGCGCGGAACAAGGCGGGACATCGCCCCGGAGAGTCCTCGCTTGGCGGGCCGGGCGGGGGCAAAAGGGGCCGGCTTTGCGGAAGGCAGGGGCTTCCATCGGGCGACCCCCGATTGACTGCGGGAAGGGCTCGCGTGCCCCCTTCTTGCATCGGGGACAGGTACCGCCGCCAAATCGCCCGTCTTCTTAAAATTGCTGTTTCATGGGCGCGCTCTTGTTGGAAGCGGGGCAGCGTGCTTGTTGTGGGGAGGGAGACAGCTTGCAGGCGGGGTGCCACAGTGACCGTAGACGTGGCTTTAGGGCCCCCACTCAGGAGGCGCTTTAGCCCCTCTCCCGTTGCTGGCGAGCATGTGCAAATGACAAGCATCGAGTGTTCAAGAGGCTCGTCTCAGACTTTTCAATGCACTGCAGGCTGATTGATGCACACAAGCAGGGGCTTCCTGGTGCCTCCAGTGGAACAAATGGAGAGCTCTGGGGGAGGGGGGGGTTCTCATGCACCCCTCCACTGGAAGAAGGTGCCAGCGGTAAGGAGGCCTTGTTTGCCTCCTTTGCAGAAACTGAGCCCCAGGGCAACTGCCACCGCTGTTCCCAAGGCTCTGCCCATGCTGTAAAACTTGGCCAAGCCAGAACAGCCAAGCCCAAATTTGGTTCCCTGCCAGTAAGAGGAGGGGAGGTGACCCCGTGCCGGGTCTAGATGATTCTGGTGACATCGCTGTCCTTCTGCTACCTAGTGTGTTTTGTAATTACCTTTCCAATTAGGAATAATACCGGAAATATTTCAGAAAGTGCTTTTGCGTGTTTGAAGGCATTTCACACGCCTTCTCTCAGCCGTCTGAACAACCACAGTGGAAGGTAGGTCGGTATCGCCGTTCCCCTGCCGCCGGTGGAGGGCTAAGGCTGAGCGGGGGCTTGCTCGCCAAAGGCCTGCCGGAGAACTCGCGGCAGGAGTGAGTGAGTGACTCGGTTGTTCCCACCACTTGCTACGTCACCCAAACAGTGGATTAGTCCTCGATAAAGACATTTGTTGTTGTATGCAGCAGAAGTGTATTATTCGGAGATATAGGTCTTTAGATTTTTTGTTTCATTCCTTGCCTAAGAAAAACTGTGGCTAAGGTGCAGCCGTCTGTAGCATGTGCACGGAGACTTTGCAAGCTGCTCCCTCTGCAACATCGATGGCCAAGAAGGGGAAAGATGAGCATTTTTGGCTCCCACTTGCAAGTTTTTTGATCCTGACTGAAAACCAAACTGCTCCAGGAAACTGCTAGTACTGCTTTCAAGTAGTTTGTGCTTGGGGCATATTTGGGTCTTTGTTGCCATCAGCTTTTTGAGACCTGTATTTGACTTGCATCCTTACTTCATTTTTTAACCTGTTGATTTATTTTATTATTATGTAAGCCACCGTGAGAGATTCCTTTGTGAATTTGGGAAGGCAGGTGGTAGTTCCTTCTGATAAGTAACTCCAGGCGCTTCCTTTGCAAAGTCAGGTGACCATGATGAATGGAGGGTTTTTGGGCTGCTTTGGTAACATTGGAACTCGGGGTCACCTAGTGAGGAGGACCGGAAGAAAGTGGAGCCCTGACCAGAGAAGGTGCTTCTCATCAGTCACACCATTTATTTTATGGAATTGCCTGCCACAGGTGAGGGGGTGACTGCCCACGAGGATGGCGAGAAAAGCGATTTAGGCAGAATCAAGGAGGGTGCTCATCCAAGGCGCCTTTTCATGATGGCACTGAATCACCAGCTTTGTAGGTAGCATGCCTGGGACTTCCAGCGAGAGAGGGGCTTCTTGTCCTGTCCGTGGGCTTTGCAGAAGTGTCTGGCTGAGCAGGGTGCTGAACCAGGCCTTTGTCCTGTCCCAACAGGGCTCTTCTTAGGCCTTCAAGCTGCGTTTGTCGGGATGCATTTCCCCCCACCCTGGGTCATGCTTCAAAGTTGCGCTCCAAAGAGGCTGCTTTCTAAAGTGCAGTCTGTCGTTTCCTCCCTGGACAGGGAATTGGACTGCATTTCCTAATTGGAGTGACAGAATGATTCAGCTGCAAGCGATGCAGTTTAAGGCCCAAATTGCCCTCCAGCAGAGGAGGCTGGTAGAAAACAGGCTTGGCTAAAGTAGCAAACCCTGCAGAGATGCTGCAAGGAACCACCTCCGAGGAGGGCACTTCTCCCATTGGACTATGAGCCAACTGCTAGTGCTCGCGTTGGGAATTTGTAGAGTTGGCGAACTCTGTATCTGGCATGGTTTTTCTCTACTTACTCTGTGTCTTTCCGTCCCTACAATGTGGACAAGTGTGACATGCTTCTTTTCACCTCCGCCGCAACACCGGGCCTCTGCTTGCTGAGTAATTGCAGCTTGTATTGCGTTTCTAGCTGGTAAGCTCCATTTTTAATGAATGCCTTTACCATCTCTGGCATAGCAGAAACGGTGTGAGAATGTTGATCCCTGGAAAACTGAACAACAAACTTTGGTCCTCCTTCAAAAATTCCATGGCTGCCAATGACAATAAGCTGCTCAAATCTTTGGAGCTAATTGTAGTGGTGAGGTTGTTTCTGTTACAGCCTGACTGAGCAAAAAGCCTGACAGAATATGACAGGCATTGACTCTGTGGAGGGTTCGACTCATAACTCAGCCATCCTGCATGCTGAGACTCTTTCCTCTTGTGTCTAGTTATGAGTCTGTTAGAATGAAATTATCAGAGTATACCTTTTCCAGATTGTCTCTGTGCAGTAACTCTCTACCAGAGAAATTGGACAAAATGTTTATTTGCAGACTGTCTCAGAAAATCATGCTGCTTCTGTGGAGTTGTGTGGATGTAATGTTATCTACGGAGTGGCATAGGTCAGAGCCCAGTTTTGCATGCACAAGTGCACTGAACCCCTGCACAAAACAAAAAAGAAAAAAAAATCCTTCCCTGTTTGGAGCCAACAGTTTGCATTCGGTTTGCACATTCATTTTTAGCCATGGTTGCAGGCTCTGGTTAGTGCTGATTTGCTGTATCCATAGGATTGACCCTGGGTGCTGCTAAAAAGGGAAGGAGAAGAAAGGAGTGGAATTTATGAACTAGAGAAAGGAAGGACTGTGAGAAGCATCTCCCAGCCATGGTTTGGAGGCTGGACAGCACTGCTCCTGCCCTAGTCCAGTATCATTTCGATTATGTTGATTAAAATAGATTAGTGATTATTATTGTTCTTCTGGGATTCTTATATTGGTTTCCCCACCAGTTGTGAGGTCTTTGGGGATTCTCATAACTCAATTTCTAACCTTAAAAGCATTAGCCCCTTTCCTTGTCCTATCAAAAAAACCCCGTACTGTTGCATTTTTAGTTGCCTTCGGTGTCAGAAAGTACTTCCTGATGGTTAGGACTCCCAGGATATGGAATGGGCTTCCAAGGAAGGTGGCTGAGGCCCCATCAGGGAGGACATTCGGGGAAGGATGGACAGCCACATGTTGGGGATGACGTGAGCAGAGCCGGCTGGAGCTGGGGGTCCAATTAGATGGTCCAGGAGATGCCTTCTGACTCGCTTTGATTTTACGTTTCAGCAGGCAGGGAGCAATGACTGATGGCCCCCACAGTGGATAGTCATTTGTCATCTCATAAAACAGTTTTTGTTTGCATTGTCAGCTACAATAAATGTTTTGAAGAGCGTGGGTGTGCTGAGTGGGTCTTAAGGCGTTGTGGGCCAACACATCTGGAGAGCAACAGGTCGGGCAGGGCTGAAATGGAAGGAGACTTGAACCAAGACTGTATACAAACAACTAGTGGGAAAGCTACGTCTGGTTTCTAGGTCTCCTTCACACAAGGAGTGACAACTGCACATTTGGACTTGTATAAGTCTCTACTTCCTCACTCTTTGGATAGACATATCCATCTTGGGATGATTGCTTGTTTCATCAGCCAACTGTTTCATTCTTATATGTCATAAGATTTTGTGGACCATACCCTTTTCCTCAGATGGATGAGTGGTTATGCTCTGTTGGTAGATTATACAAGCATGCACACACACACTCTGACGAAATGGGCTCTCTATGCCAGAAAAGCGTATTAACAGATCAGATGTCTCAAGGCCCTTTGTTGATTTTGCTGTAGCAGACTAATCTGGCTCTCCTCCTCAACACTGCAATTGCAACTGCTGTGTGTATTAGCTTTGTGACACTTTTGCTTAGATTTGAGGTGAATTTTGTGTAAATAGATGGCACTTGTGCATTCAGTAGTTCAGACATGCCTAACTGATGGCACTTTTCCTCAAAGAACTCTGGGAACTGTAGTTCTCTGATGATTGTGAGTCTTCTCTGTGGGGCACACAAGCTGTCTCACAAACCACTAGGTTCTGGCATTCGTGGAAACCTTACCATCTCAGAACATCACACAGCTTGGATAACCAAGTCAGCTTCACTCGGTTGTCGTTGTGAATGAGGGCAGCTCTGTGCTCTTTCACGGCAATTCCCAAAGTGGAAACTTGTCTCTTAGTGTGATAAAGATTAAGTGCAAGCAAAGCATTTCTGTTTGTCTATAGGATGACGGAAATGCATACATTTGGCCTGTGTCACATTCGTTTCCATTTGGCTTGGCTTAAGGCACTTTTCCTCAACAAGCTTTTCCTTATTTAGAGTATAGTTAATGAAGGAATTTAGGGCAAACACAATTAAATTACAAGCTTGTTTGGCTGCAGCCAATCCTCTGTTTGAATATGCTTGCCGGAGTTTAAAGTGATAAACAGTTTGCTGTGCCTTGAAT